ATTCTGTATTTATAAAGTAATATTTGTACCAGTTTCAAGTGGTAGAGCGCTAGCCTTGAGCTGAAGAGCTGAGGGACAGTGCCCAGGCCCAGAGTTCAGGCCCCATGACCGGAAAAAAAAAAATAAAAAAAAAGAAAGAAAAGTGGCTAAAGAATATGAGAAAAGTTTGGGATCCCAGTAAATACCAGTTCTTGTGTAGTGACCATTTAACTCCTGACTCTTGACATCAGATGGGGTAACTGTTATTTAAAACAAACTGCAATTCTAACAATATTTTCTTTGCCTGAAGACTATAAGGGAATAGAATCTTGTTAAAAAAAACTCTCAGAAGAAAAAAATGGGAGATGAGAAAGAAATGTACCTAAAAGCTAAGTGTGAAGAATCATTTGCATCAAATGAAATAAAGAAAAATACAGATAAAATAGATATACTCCCTGAAGAGACTTACTTGATTTGCCTGCCAAACTGAAGCCACCAACTCCTAAAATAGCAAGTATTCAAACTAATATACTAACTCTTAATCTGGTTAAACAATATACTGAAAAAACAAATTCTGTCTTGGAAACATCCATTAACCAAGATTTAGGTGTAAGTGATTTCCACACATCTTTTACGAATCTAAATTCCACAACTATTACTTTAAAAACTTCAAATTCAGAAGGTATTCACCAGCCTTTGGAAACCCAAAAAGTGCTTGAAATAAGTACAAGTCATTTTGCTAGTCCTAATTCCATTGAAATTGTCAGTATAGGAAAACCAATTCTTAATCAGCACAGTTGAAGAATTATGCACAAATAATCTGTTATTGCCCTTTTTGTACCCACACAAAATTTTTTTTCCAGTCCTGGGGCTTGAACTAAGAGCCTAGGTGCTGTCCCTGAACCTCTCTGTGCTCAAGGCTAGCCCTCTACCACCTGAGCCACAGCGCTACTTCCAGCTTTTTCTGTTTATGTGGTACGGAGGAATTGAACCCAGGGCTTCATGCATGCTAGGCAAGCACTCTACCACTAAGCCACATTCTCAGGCCCCACAGAAAATTTTAAACCTGCAGTTAATTATTTTATCCTATTCCCAAATGAAAACCATAGAAATGGTCGGGCGCCGGTGGCTCACGCCTGTAATCCTGGCTACTCAGGAGGCTGAGATTTGAGGATCACAGTTCAAAGCCAGCCTGGGCAGAAAACTCCATGAGACCCTTATCTCCAATAAAGCACTAGAAAACCGCAAGTGGCGCTGTGGCTCAAGCTGTGAGGGCTCATCTTGAGCTGAAGAGCGAAGGGAAGGTGTCCAAGCCCAGAGTTCAAGCCCCATGACCAACAACAAGAAAAGAAAACCATAGGAATGGAATACATAGATACTAAAGACTCCTTATATAAGAATATAGACCGCAGTGTAGACATTTTACAAACTGAACACTCTTACTGCAGACAAGACATAAATAAGGAACATCTTTGGCAAAAGGTCTCTAAGCTGCATTCAAAGATAACTTCTTGAGCTACAACAGCAAAGACTCTAGGAAGATTGAAGACTTTGGAAGCTCTTATAAGCCAGCTAAAACAGGAAAACTATCTGAAGAAAAAAACAAAATTATAGAAAATCACTTCACCACATATGAAGTTACTGTGATAGAGTAAAAAAGTTTTAAGGCTATAGAAGCTATTTTGAGTAAACAAAATTATATATAAAGGGAGTTTCTCCTACAGATAGTTTTTATCTTAATGAAACTATGCAAGTTGTTATGAACTACATTCTGTTTCTGTAATGCCTATAATAAGAGAAAAACTGGAGAGTTATGGGGCTGACTTGATACTTTTCCAAATTATAGTAACACAGTGAATAAATACAATAAGACAGTCATAAAATGAGGGAGCAAAGAAATTATCAAAACAGCCCAAAAGGGCTGGGAAGTTGGCTCAGTGGTAGAGCGCTTGCCTTGCACGTATGAGGCCCTGGGTTCAATTCCTCAG